GGGTTTAGTGGTTTAAATTTTTTTTTTTTTTTTTTTTTTTTAGTTTTATTTCCTTTGAGGCAAGGCAGTGCTTACTTGTAGCAGTGTTCCCAGCAATAGAATTCTGAATACTAGGTTTTTATTTCTTGTTTTTTTCTTTTTAAAATTTAATTGAAAATAGTTTTAATAGTTTAATAGTTTTATAGTGCACAATTCAGTGGTATTTATCTTTTTATAATGTATACTTAATTTCAGAATGTTTTTTAAAATTTTTACAAAATCTTTATTGAGAATTTCATACATGAATATAAGGTGTTTTGAACAAATCCACGCCCACTCCCTCCCCTCCAACATTCTCCCCTCTGAAGAGGTAACCCTAAAATCTTTTAAGGATTAGATCCAAGCTCCCAAATACTTTTGACATTTTGGGCCTTTGGAACAGAGTATGTTGTTAAGAGGCCCAAGGACGTTATGACTTTTAGCCAAGAAACTGGCTACATTTCTTTGGGGTCTTTTTACCCTAACTGCCTAGCCAGTTCCTCCTATTTTTATCATGCCATCCTCTGAAGGGGTTACCCAGATTGCCAGTAGGGAATAGGGATGCAGACTGCTCTGGCTTCTTCCATGCTGAACAGGGATGCAGGGTGAGGCAATCGGAGTACCCCTCCAGTGGGTCTATCTAAAAGACTCCCAAATCGCATAACTCTTGTCTCTAAGGGGAGAAGAAAGTCCTTGAATCATGAATAGGAGATGTGAAGGAGAAGTAAAGGCAAGAGTAATTAGTATTACAAGTTCTGGACAGAGAACTAGAAAAGTCAGAACAGGGCAATTTTCAAATGTTCATATGAGAGTCCATTGGAGTTTCTTGACAAGAGCTTCCAAAAGCATACCTCTATTGGGTTCTTTCTCATTTTTTTTTCTGTCTTCCAAGGCTGGAGTAGTTGACTGGGACGAGTGGCTGGATACTCAGGTGAGGGTCCAGAGACCCTGCTTCGCACTCCTTTAATGAATGAGCACAACCGTCAACAAGCCCAATTGTGACTATGATTAGTGATCATAGGCTCAGCTGAAGTTGTGATGATGGTAGTTATTTCATGCAGGAGGGACTGCTGTATAGCATCATCTTATTAAAAGGACCACCACCAGGAGGCAGGATCCAGGGGCTGTCAGGCTATCTCTTGGTTCTCAGGCCCTCTGATGGTTGGAGGCCAGAGGGAGGCCAGACAGCCGTACTCTCTGGTGGTCTGCTGAGCTCTGAGCCTCAGAACATTTTTAAAACTTCAAAAAAAAAAAAAAATCTGGGGGCTGGGGAAATGGTTCAGTCTGTAAAGTACTTGTCATACAAGCATGAGGATCTGCATTCTGATCTACAGAAGACTCATTAAAAACCTGGGTATGAGCTAGGCATGGTGGTGCACGCCTGTAGTCCCAGCACATGGGAGGCAGAGGCAGGTGGATCTTTGTGAGTTCAAGGCCAGCCTGGTCTTCATAGTGAGTTCCAGGACAGCTGGGGCTGTAGGGAGACCCTGTCTCAAAAAACAAAACTAAACAAAACAAAAAAACGAAAAAAAACACCAAACCAAACCAAAAAAAACCTGGGTATGATGGTACATGCTTGTAATTCCAGCTTTAGTGGGGGAAGGGCAGATAGGAGAAGGATCCTTGGGACTTGCTACTCAGCCATCCTAGCCAAATTGGTGGTTTTCTCATTCAGTAAGAGATTTGATCTCAGAAAATAATGCATAGACTGATGAAGACACCTAACATTGGCTTCTGCCCTTACCGTTTGTGCATACACATATGCATGTGAACATCAGCCGAACATATATATGACCATGTACACACATGCACATTACACATACATTTTGAGTGTATACCTTTTTTCCTCCTTTGCTGCATAATTCCTTTAGTATGTTGTGTATAAACACTGTTTCCCATATTGTTATTCTTTCTACTTTCTTATATAGGACCAAAAGATCTCAGAATGTCCTAACTGAAGGTATATTTGAACTTCCAAATCTCACAATTCAAGCTACAAGAGCACAGACACTTCTGCTGCAAGCAATATATCAAAGTTGGTCTCATATTGGAAATGTCAGCTCTTCAACAGTAAATGAAGCTTTGATGAATGAAGTCTTCCAAACTACAGGTAAGAGTACAGTTTTCCTGATTAGTATATAGAAAATCTACTTTAGATGTGACTAATGTTCAAATCCACATGTCTAGCATACTCAACTTCTGTTATATTTAGGTGAAAGGTATTTTCAAGTAGTGTTTAAAGTCTAGATTATTGCTCAGTGGTTAAGAGTGTTTGCTACTCTCGTAGACAACTTGCTTTTGCTTCTCTGCACCCATTGAGTGGTTCACAACTGTTTGTTACTTCAGATCCAGGGGATCTGATAATCCTTTTTTAGCCTCTGTGCACACATGGCACACATGTGTATGCACAGACATCTCCTACACATAAATCTTCAAAAGTTTCCAGATTATGTGTTAAGCCACCCAGTTTTGTCCTGGGTACAGATTTCTAGGTAGGTTTTGTACTTTCAGGATGTTATTATTATTATTGTTATTATTTTTAGCCAACTGTTTTCATAATTTATCCTTTGGTCCCACATAGATATCATTTCAGTGGTCAGTAAGTGCTTTAAATGATAACCAGGTCACATAGAAGTGTGTTTAATTATACTGATGAATTTGAACGAATTTGTTGTTTGTATCACTTGCTAAACACATTTTTTTTATATAGAAAAACATTAATTTTCTATCTTTCAAACTTTTTTTGAAGCTTGAGGACAATTTTATTAGAGTTTAAAAGAAACGGGCAAGCTGTACATATCAGCAGCTGCCCAGAGGAGGAGGATGGAGGGGAGAAGGAAAAAATGCCATGTCAGTTGAGTTAAGCCACAAGGAGGTTAGCCACATGGTAGCAGGCAGCCACTAGAGGGGAGGGGAGCTTTATAGAAAAAGTGAAGCCTAAAGTGTTAGGGAAAGCATACTGAGAACAGAGATAGAAAGGTAAAAGGTATTCAGAAAAGTGGGCTGGCTTATGAAGGTATATTGCTGTGGCCCTATATGCTACTGTGCTACAGTGGTGTGAGAATTATGGGTAGAAAGAGTAAATGATTTCATTAAAGGTTAATTATTCTGCCTATCTCTTTACCATGACTTAAGGTGAACCCACCTTCCAAGGACTGGTCTTGCCTTCTGGAGGGGCGGTTCCTTAGCCAGGTCTTTGATCCTGCTCTATGGAATGTTGGGGCTTTATCCAGGCTGGAGATTTCATCCTGCTTTCCAGAAGGAATTGGTTTTCCCTTAATGGGCTTGCTGTGTCATTCACCTCTGAAAAGTTAACCGTAAAATCATTTAGGTGATGGGATGTAATTGAGGAATAAATAAAACCCATTTTCACCATGAAAATCTAGAGATCCACTTCCAAAGCTGTTCATCAGAAGAGATAATTATTGTCTGGTTGGAGTTATAGTTCCCACACCCACACAGAGCCTCCAGGCAAGAGTGTTTATTAACTGGGAGATAAGAAACCTGAGCTCTTTTCTGACCTCCCTGTCCAGAGAACCAAGGACATTTCTGGAGTTGCTGCTTTAGGGGTCCCTGCCCTGATCTGCCTGTCTGGTTTCTTTTTCTTCTTTTAATTAAAAAAAAATGTTTATTTATTTTATATGTATGAGTGTATTGCCTGCATGTATGTTAATGCACCCGTGCTGTGCAGTGCCTGTTGAGGACAGAAGAGGGAGTCTGATGCCCTGGAACTGGAGTTATGGACTCGTGTTAGCCACCATGAGGCTACTGGGAAGTGAACCCAGGTCCTCTGTAAGAGCAGCTGGTGTGCTTAACTGCTGAGTCATCTCCCCAGCTCCATCCTGTCCAAGTTTCCATCTACTGTTCCCTAATCTTTCATGTTGAGCCACTACTAACAAACATCTCTCTCTCTTCATCTCAGGTTCATTTTTTTCCCATGTCATTCAGTTTACATATAAGCTAAAATTTGCAAGCTTTCTGTTTCCAGTTCAATATAATCACATTTTGTTGGTAGCACCAAAGTACTTTTAAAAGAATGTTTTTTGTTTCAATTTGTACAAAGTAGTGGGTTTCATTATGACATTTGCATATGTGTATACAAAGTACTTGGATATCTCACAGCACTGTCTCCCTCTCCCACGCCCTATCTACTCCTGCAGATTTGTTTCTTCTCCAAAGAGTCCTTGTTCCAAGTTTATATCTATCTGTTTTTAAAATCTATATTTACATATGAGAGAAAGCCTGATATTTATGTTTCTGACTATGGCTTTTGTCACTTAATATTGTGATCATTAGTTTCACTCATTTTCTTTAAAAAGATGTAATTTCTCCTTTATGGTTGAATCATAGTCCATTAAATATGCGTGTGTGTGTTTGCATATGTATGTGTATCACACACACACACACACACACACACACACACACTCACATTTTCTTGAAGCACCATCATTTCATAGACTCCCAGAGTGATTTTACAGATTTGCTCTTGTGAATAATTTGCAACAGTGGACATGAATGTACAGGTGTCTCCTTACTTTTGGAAGGTCATATGTATCTAGATATTTATGCCTTTCTTTTAGAATTTCCAATTTATTGGAATATAAGTTTTCAAAGTTTGCCCTAATGATCATTTGCATTCCATTTGTATCTGTTGTAATGTACTCCTTTTCATCTCAAGTTTTTTTAATTTGACTCCTGCCTTTCATTTGGTTAGTTTGGCCAAGGGTTTTCCAATCTTACTATCGTTTTAAAGAATCACTTCTTTAGCTATTACTCAGAGGCAGGCAGATCTCTGTGAGTTCCTGGCCATCTGGGGATACCAGGAGATCCTGTCTCAAACAAACAAACAAACAAACAAACAACAAACAAACAGCAGTGTATGACAGTGTCAGTCTTTCTACATCTTTGACACATTGTTATCTATCTAGTTGTTGCCAGCCATCATTATGAATATAAAGTGGTATCTTTGAGGTTTTGTTTTTCTCTTGTTTCCTGGGTAATGCTGTTGAGCATTTTTTATGTATATATTTGCTATTTATATATCTTCATTGAGAAGTATCTAAGTCTTTTGCTTTTTAAAAATTTGGCTTATTTTCATTGTTTTCAACTATGTGAACTCTATATTTTGTTTATAATTTCCTTATCAGATATGACTTGTAAAATTTTTTTGTATTTGTGTAAGTTCTTTTCATTTTTCTGATGATATCCTTTCTTTCTAATTTTTCCTACTATCTCACAGTACATCTTTACAGTATTCTTTTTACTATTTAGAGATTTTTTTATTTTTTATAGTTCATGCTTTTTGATACTCATTAATTTTTTTTTAATTAGAAGAAGCATTTCATTACAACAGCATTAACCTATTCAATAACATTTTTCTGAGCTAGGGTACATCTCTTTCAAAATTGGCTGTACATTTTTAGGTTTACAGATGAATTATTGCGCTTATACAATCTTTTACTCATTATAAACTCTATAAGACATAAAATTAAATGAGGTTCCAACGTTTAAAAAAGATCTCC